TCTCTACTAAAAATACAAAATTAGCCAGGTGTGGTGGTGTGTGCCTGTAATCCCAGGAGGCGGAGGTTGCGGTGAGCCAAGATCATGCCATTCCAGCCTGGGCAACAAGAGCGAAACTCTGTCTCAAAAAGAAAAGAAAAGATACGGGCATTGCCTTCCCACTGACCTCAAAAACAAAAACAAAGGGCAAACAGAAAAGCAAAACATTCCTTCCATCTAGGAGGGGTCATTCCTATAGTTTAAAAGCTTAAAAGTTTATCTGATAACTTCCAAATTTGTCTTTGTAAAGAACAAAGCTAACATTTTACATCCAACACACAGCCAATGACACCCAAGAACATATACGAAATACATTTTCATAAGGTAGAGGTAAAAACCAATAGCCCGAGAGTCACTGGATTCTGACTTCTCTTATTTACTTGTAAATCCTACCATCTCAAACCTTGAAAGTTGACCATCCCAAGACTGAGTGTGCAAATTAAAGCCATCTTCTAAAGCCACTTCTTCCTAATTAGCACCCCCACTTACAACGAAGGCAGAGAAAACATCCACAGTGAAATTCAAAGTTACTGTCTTCTGCTCCTGTGAGCAACCTCTAGAAAAGTATTCGATGGCAGCAGAGTCAAATTAAGGATTACTTGTAGATTTTACATATCTGTGCTATTGCCCCATCTGCCACAGAGATATTATAAGGCACATCACTGAGGCCAGGCATGGTGGCACACGCCTGTCATCACAGCACTTTGGGAGGCCAAGGCGGGCAGATAGCTTGAACTCAGGAGTTTAAGACCAGCCTGGGCAACACAGCAAAATCCCATCTCTACAAAATATGCAAAAATTAGCCAGGCACAGAGGCACACACCTGCAGACCCAGCTGCTGAGGGGGCTGAGGTGGGAGGACCATCTGAGCCTAGGAGGCTGAGGCTTCAGTGAGCTGAGATTACGCACTGTGTTCCAGCCTGGGCGACAGAGCAAGACCCTGTCTCCATAAAAAGTCATTCAAAACTCTGAGGCATGAATGAATATGAGTTTGCAGGCACATCCCCCATGTGGTCAGGACACATGAATATGCCACTTCTGTACATCATCTGTTGCAGTGTTTCTTGTATTAAATTCCAGTGATCTACTGTAAATGTATGTCCTTTTCTATGTCATCCGTAACTTTCGATAAGTGTATCGTTTGTTCATATTAAAGAATCATTTTTAGACTGTAGAGACAGAGAAGGCATTAAATAATGTGACAATTTTCATTAGTTATATCCATCTTCATAATCCTGCCATGTAAATTTGTGTTTCCTAGATGCTTTCATCTGAACAGCCCTTTAAACCTCAGAAGTCAAGCTGTGAACACGCAGCCACAGCCACACCTCTGCCTGGGGTCTACCCCTGCTCCCAGGGATGGGGGCCAGTGCCTCCCGCCAGGGCACCAGCAGCAGCAGCAGCTTCCAGACAACAGTCAGAGCACACATGTGCTGGGAGCAGCACCAAGGACAGTCCCTGCACCACCAATGAAGCCTCCCAGAGACAGGAACTGCAGCCCCAAAGCGTTCGTAACCCCAGTCTCTCCTCGGTGGGCAGCGAGGCAGATACACCCCCTCCGAAGGGCCAGAGCAAACTGGGAAGTGACCCTGACAAAATAAACTCAAGAGGTTTCTGTTTGAAAAGGACATGTCACTTTCCCCCACAAATCTGATATTTAACATCCGTGAAGGTTAAGTTAAAAAAAAAAAAAAAGTTACTCTAATTAAACAAAAAAGCAACTAAAAAGTTCCTTCCTTTTGAGCCACACAGGGATCCAAGAAAGAGCTCCTCGGGGCTCATGGAGCATTTCCTCCGGGGACCTTGGCATCATGGACAACATGCACCTTCCCTCAGAGGACCCTGTCTGAACGACTCCTGTCTCCGCTGTGGCCCATGAGAGGGGCACACCATGTCCCCAAAACCTCCTCTCCACTTCAGTACTAACAGGGGCTAGGACCACACACACCATGTACCTGGGTGCCATAGCCCTCAGGAGCCCTGGACAGGTGGTGTGGACTTTACAGGCCAATCCACGAGCCACTCTCTTATCATGGTCACAGCTCAAAACTTCTGCTCACTAGATACAAATTTTAATCAGCATACACTCAATAAAAACTCAGAGAAAGGTGCTTCTAGCTCCAAGACAGCCCATGAGCCTTCCCATTAGAACTAGACACTTTTCTCCTGCTATACCTTCAGGTGAGAAATCTCTCCATCCACAAAAAGGAAAACACCTGATGCATACCAGAACATTTAAAGAAGATTCTGTTCTAACAAGGAAAATAAAATATCACAGCAAAAGGAACAATCAAAATGTAATGCAACAAAAGCTTATTTTTTAAATTCAGTAACGCTCCCCTGGCCTTGGTAAAACCAGAAAACCAAAGGTGTCAGCCCGTATGTCTTCCCACCCCCTCGAGTTCAATAAAAAAAGAGTCTTACCTGCTGTTACTTTATTTAGAGTCACTAAGGAACTGAGGACCTTGTTAAAATTCTGCCCCTGATACAAATCATTTGCATCAAACGTCTGAAAGGAAAAATTAAACAAGCAAAATTAGTAGAGTCTTACGTTGGGTGCAGGATGAACTATGTTCTCCCAGCAACGTGACGATGCTGAGCCTGAAATCCTAAGGAGACCACACAACCTGCGACAGGGAGACCAGCACGCTCAGTCTCAGTCCTGGGGTAAGAATTCAATCAGAATCCTCTTACTTAGGCGCAGGGTCCCCCCTCGGCATTAGGCCAATTCCCTACCCAGCACCCGCCCCTGCCCCTCTTTACACGCTGGAGTGTGAGCTCATTCACAGGGCCAGTGGGGGCCGGGGCGCGGCGGGAGAGGCAGCAGGCTGCTGGCATTCAGCAAGTAAGCAGAGGTGCTTGCTCAATCCTCCTCTCCTTAGATTAACACAGAGGCCCCAGGCAAGGCGTGCTACAGATGTTCTTTCCTAGACACAGAAGAGGGAAAATGACAGCCAATTCCAAAGCTAACAGCAGCGAAAGAAAATGCAGACATCAGAGAGCAGAGTGGAGATGAGGGAAAAGGAGGAAAGACAGAAGCAGCAGATCCCAGACAGGAAAGGGGTAGGGACAAGAGAACACCACCACCCTCAGAGCTCTGAGGCCAGCACCAGGCAAGCCCACAACCGCATCCCCTCCAATCCAGGGCTATCT